TTTCCAGCTGGAAAATCTCAATGAAATACTTTTGAAGTTTCCTCTTTATAGGGACATCAAAAACACCTCATTAAAATGACATAAAATTAGGATTCACACCAAGTATAAACGTATTATTATAACCAACAAGACTAATTAATGCATGTCTCTGGTTATATGATCATCACAATGATCCAGGTATCAAAATGTAGCTTTTAAAGCCAGGAACATGTAAATGTAATTAGGTCATTTTGACCAAATTTGACTTAATCCACATTTCGATGTGATGGGTCACATTTACTCCGTCTGGTCACTTCTCTGCCCTGCTTTTAGGACATCTTGCAGCAACTTTTACAGCCTTAAATGCGACAGTGAGTCCCTGTTGCTCTGCTGCAGCAGTGGGACTAATGTGAGGAAAGGGCAGCCTCTTACAAACTCAAGCATTTGTAGCCTGTGCACGCATAAGCTTGTGGTATTCACCGCCGAGACTAAAATAAAAATATATTAAAAAAAAAAACGTTTTCGGTATCCACCCATTCCTAAAAATACAGCTGTCCGTGATGCTGCTGCAGCCCGGGTTGTTAGCACAGCCCGTATTTTCTGTGATATTCCTGTGCTTTCAGCTGCTGTGAGCCCAGACTCTGTCTAAAACGGTCACTGTGCTTCATCAGCACACAGACAGAAAATTAACACCTGCGTGACTTTACTCGTGTCTATCCTGAACTTTTACACAGAAATATCCGAATAGCAAAAAATAACTTTGCGTCAATTTAACGGTTGCATTTAAACTAAACTGAACCATCAACCAGTCATTTAGCTCAGAGGATAGGTTCTGAGGAAAATACACGATTTCTAGCTTGATGGTAAAAACATAYTCTAGTCTGGACTAAACGCAAACATTCTTTGCTAGTTCACTGCGAACATTGTTGATAAAAATCAAGGGTTAGCTGAAGGTTCGTACCAGCTGGCGCTGCTCGCATCGTTCGGGTTTGTTTTCCGGTCGAGCTCCGGGCTCACAGGTTCGGTTTCTTTCTTTGAGAGGGAAGCGGCGCCCTTTCACTCCGGCTCTACGGGACTCACCATGCTGACTAAACTTTGCCTYTCTCCCCTTCAACGCACCGACTCCCTCTCGGGTCTAAATATCACTATTTTAGTCAAAACAAGGCGGCGCGCGSGCAACTTCCGCTTTGCCTTTTCAAAATAAACGCTGCCAGAGAAATGAACATTTGGCCATGAAAGACAGAGCATTTCTGGATTTATTTTTAAAAAATTTTTTACTTCAACAGCAAATTATTCAGAACAGACAGAAAAGGATGGTTATAATACATTGTTACCTTTTTGTTATGGGGTTGGTGCTTTAACCCAGAAACCAGGATTCAAAGTTGAAGTAGTTAGTGATTATTCTTTTTAATGGCAAATTTAACAATTTAGGACTCTAAGTGTGACATTGTTTATACTTATTAGGTGTATAATAAGAATCTACAAAGTATTTATGTTTAAAACAGTGAGTGTACTAATAAGAAAGTTACAGGTTGTGAGCAGAATTGTAAAGTAACTAAGTACTAATACTTTGTTACTGTACTTAAGTAGAATTTTTGGGTATTTGTACTTTACTTTAGACTACTTTTTTACATCTACTTCATACATTTTCACACAATTATCTCTACTTTCTACTCCTTATATTTTTTAAAAGGCAAGAAGTAGAAAGTTGTTACTTTTATTTCATTTTTCCTTGTTTTCATCCCAGCTTGTTATTGTAAAAAAAAATACTATCCATGTATGTGCCTCCTAGATAGAGTGAATTTATTATGGTTGAAAGAGAAAAATAAATATATAAAACTCTGATACCGTATTAGTTTGTAAACAAACAAATCATGTCACACTCCAGCAGGATATAATCATTAATAATAAAAGGACTGTACTTAAGAAGTATTTGTATTTCATGAATTATATTATTGCATTTGGCTGCAGCCCTCAGATAGATTGTCATTTTGGGGAAAAGGTTTGTGCAGCCTTGATATATGTACAGTGGTTTGCAAAAGTATTCATACCCCTTGAACTTTTCCATATTTTGTCACATTACAACCACAAACATAAATATATTTC